TACCACTCTGAGTTCCAGAATGTTTCATTGTAGATTCCAGTTTTGTATTGGTCATACTCCATGAGTAATGTTGGACATGCCGGCAAAGGAGGAAGTCGCATCATAGCACACATGCTGGAACGCATCAGCATACTTGCCTGACTTTCCTCCGCACCAGAGAGCTTAAATGAGGTATAAAATGGCCTGATTTCAGGATGTCCAAAACAAGCGCTTGCACATGCAAAGAATGCCGGTCGCCATTTTGGAACACCCAAACTATTAGGAAGACAAATCAACAGCTGGGAAAACCATAAACACAACCAATTTCGGCAGAACCCAACTAAGATATACTTATACAACAGTGAAATGGTCTTACCACATCAAGTCTTGAAACAAGTAAAGAAACCTTTTCCCAATTCTTCAATTACCATATACTAATAGGGCAACCATAAATCAGGGAGTCCCAAACTGCGTGGGCTGTATACTGATAATTACTTTGCGAGAAAGGCGGAACTCCCTAGGGGAGTCATGCTGAAACACTAATGACAGGCTTTTTTCATGACAGAGAAATACTTAAAAGCTTCATGTTATTTTCATTATGAATAAAATAATACATTGCATGCTGTATATCCACTTAATTATTATATAATGAATATATATTTATATTTATCTCGAAATAGAAAATAACACAAAATGGCAATACCAAATGTCACCAGTGAGGGGTTGAATGCTTGTTTTTTTTTTTTATTGATTCAAACCAAATGCTCAGAAATGCCCTGTGCCCTGTCTGATCCAAACTTCTTTTGTAAGATTGCTGACACCAAGATTCATGACTCCAATCATTTCTAGCTTCTAAGGCACAAAGCATACACTATATACAGAGCTCTATATCAGTTTGTGGATATTGTATTGGGTTATTAGAGACAATTTCCTAGACCATCAGCAGAAAATGGTTCTCATGAACACATTATTTTCAGGATTTGGTATTGACTTTAAATAGTCTACCAAAGATGTAGGACATTTGTTAAAAATATTAATCATTGTTAGTCATATTGGGACAATGAACCATGTCATATGACAAAAGGATGTACTCAAATTAAAAGGTGAGAATATGTAGAGGAGTAGCACATGAACAGCATATGAAATTAGGAGACAAAAGCTAAATATTTTCCATTTGACCTAACAAACAAAAAGATGACAAAATTTGTTATTAGTATCTATATTTTAAAGAAGCAACATATATGAGGTATGCACTAATATTGGACTTGTGCATGCTGAAAAAACTTGTTTTGGCATAATCACTTCTGTCAAAAATAAAAAAAATTGGATCTGCCAAATTTCTACCCCATAGTGGCTGGCTTCAAATTAATTTCCACAATGGAAATTATACATATCATACCAGCAAATATCTAGATAAAAACAATGAATTGTTCCAGATATTTGCTGGTATGATACATATGCTGCCATGGCAACAACTGTAATTGAGGCATGGATGTGGGTGGTCTGCATGAGAAAGAGATTTGGGATACAGCAGCATGTGTCTCCTAGTAGGGAACAAACCATTATACTGAAAGGTGTCAGTGTTCTCAATGTGACATCCAGACATGGTCACCCAACAGGGGATTTGATCCTGGGAACTTTGTGCTCCTGGCCGGCATTCTACCTTTGAGCCACAGCAGTTTTGTTTAGTTTTCAGCTATTCCAGTCCTATTCATCCTGGCTTGTCTGCAGCACTGGGGGTTGGACCTTGACAATTGCTGTGCTTCACCTGACCAGACATCAGCAAGGTATATAAACGCCCTTTGAACTTTATCAAGTCTTTGATCCTGTTATGTTCCTGTGTTCCAGTCTATTGAACCTCAACTTTATATTGACCCCAGCTTCCGACATCGTTTTCTCTGGCATCCCTTGACTTTGGCTACTCTTCGTTGATCCTGACCTCTGGCATCCTTTAACTTCGGCTATCCCTTGACTATCCTGCTGTTTGTGTCCTTGCCTGTACTGGGACTTGAAACAGTCATTCACAGTCCAGGTGATTTATTATCTGGTCACCTTGGACTGTGTCTGTTTGCAAGGGTGAGCAATATATCTGCGCTACAGACTCCCAACTCAGGTAAGATCATGACAAAACGTTGACACAGTGCAATAAAAGCACTGTTTTAACAGAAAGTAAGTACTTTGAGTGCTGACCATCCTCGGTCGTATATATATTTATTCCTAGCCCCTTTTTCTACTTCTGACTTCATCTGTGAATAAAATCAACATAAAGTTACTGTCCACTTACCATCAATAATCTCTTTCTTTGTCAATGCAGGCATAATTTTGAATACTTAATTTAAACAAACATGCTTGTTAATTAAGCATTTTCTTTGGTTTTTGATTCGGCTGATTGAGTGATCACTTTACCTTCCAATGGTTTGCCAAATTACATTTTGCACCAAAAGAAATTGCCAAGTCTGCTAATATTACCAAAATTATTTAAATTATAATTTATTATTAATGGTTAAAAGTGTGATTATTTTTTTTTTACATATTTAGTTTCTCAACCTACTAAAACAAACTTACCTAAAACACTAAAGAACCTATAGCCAAGAGAATCCAGTTTTGAAACTTGAATTAAAATTCAAATGTTTAGATAACTTTAATTGATGTTTCAGTAATTGTTTGCTTTGATAAAACAGTAAGTGTTCTATTTTTCTCAGACATGAGCTCACCATGAATGCTACAATAGTCTGACTCTGAAGCATAAAACAAGGACTTTTCACTGGCGGCTTCTGTTTCACAGCCAGACATTGAGCACCAAAGGACACTAGAATCATGATGATTATTCAAGTCTCGAAACCTCAGCAATTGATGGATATCACCAGGCACATGCCTACTATGATTAAAAAATGTCTCCTTAAATTGGAAAAAAAGACCCATTATTGTCCTATTGAATCATGCAGCTCTGAGTGAAAGCAGACGTTCTCGCAACTGGTTATAAATCGAGCTAAGGAAAAGAATTGGACACAGAACACTTCAAACACCCGTCAAAGTACTTTGTCTGTCACTAGATTAGAGTTTTTCTTTGACACAAATAAGCACAGACAAACTGATACTGGGACAAGAGTTTTGATATTCATATAAAATACAATTGGGACGAACTAATTTACTGTCTTTGGTTGTATAATTCTATATAGTTGTTAGGAAATCCTGCAACAGATTTGAAATATAGTAGAGGAATAGAATTTAATTTATATGCTTATATTAACTACACACGTAAGTCAGGTTCTAATCAAGGAGAGTATTAATGGCACATACATTTAAAACTAGTTGAATCATATTGGGTTACATGGAGATACATTTTATAGATAACCCTATTTTGTTTTGGGACAATAGCATAGTTTAAGATATATTGTAGAGTTAAGCACCAAGCACTCTAATTTAAAATGTAGATATAATATTGATGAAAAGAGCATTATCTTTATAGATTTATTTATTTTTTTAAGTTATAAGAGTGGTTTGGTGGGTACTGGTATTCTAAGAAAACATGTAAGGGGGCCTATATTATGTAACCAGCACTGTGCTAGTTTGTGTCAAGGAGAACTGTGACGTTTGACACCCAATTGTTCCCTAGTCTTTATAGATCTGGTCCCAATAGAATGTCCACACAGTTGTTTACAGTGTGGAGGTAATCCATATTTTTAAATTACGGTTGCATCTTGCTTTCCTTCCTTCACAAATGTCTATATCTTCCTAACCTTTACCCAAAAAGACCCACCAGTAAATACTTTAACATCGAGTAGTTCTTGCACACATATGAAACTATAAAATAATGCCATTTTGTTTCTTACAGATTCTCTGAAATCAACCTCGCTGCACCCGCTCTATCTTGTCCATGCCTTTATTGCCTTTTGATGCGATTGCCCAGATAAAATTGCTGCTCTAGAAAACAAAGGCACTGACATACAATATTCTCACACTGCAGAATGTTTATTTACGTAAACCAGCTATAAAGATGATTTTATTCACTGCAGGTTTCTGCTATTCTTCTACAAGTCTATACATTTTGCGTCAATAGGAAATAATTCTACTTTTCCACAGAAACCTTGTCACATTGGACCAAACTTCTGGAATAAAAGGGAATCATGACATGTCACACAGTCATGTGTCCTTAAGGGGTTAAGAAACATCCTAATTTTAACATATATTTTTAAACATTTTATGTTATAGATACTTTCATTTAAAGGACCACTATAGGCACCCAGACCACTTCAGCTCAATGAAGTGGTCTGGGTGCCAGGTCCATCTAGGGTTAACCCTGCCTGCTCTAAACATAGCAGTTTCAGATAAACTGCTATGTTTACATTAGGGTTAATCCAGCCTCTAGTGTCTGTCTCATTGACAGGCGCTTCCGCGGTCTCACTGTGATTTTTTACAGTGAGAAGACGCCAGTGTCCATAGGAAAGCATTGAGAATGCTTTCCTATGGACTGACTGAATGGGCGTGCGGCTCTTGCCGCGCATGCACATTCGGCGGAAGAGGGAGGAGAGTCCCCAGCGCTGAGGGAGCCCAGCACTGGAGAAAGGTAAGCCTTTAACCCCTTCCTCCCCCTAGAGCCCGGCGGGAGGGGGGCCCGGTTACCAAACCCCTAGTCACCCCCCTCCCAAAAAAATAATTACCCCTACCTATCCCCCATACTAAAAATAATGAGGGGGGTCCCTTGTCCAAATACCTGTAAAAAAAAGGCCAAATCAAAATCCATAATAGCCGACGCACTTAAAAAAAAAAAAAAGAGCGCAAAAAAATAATAATACATCTTCACCAATGGAGGGCTCCGCGCAGACTGAGCTCTGCAGGGCGGCCAAGTCTTATAAAGCCTTGCCCCGCCCTGCAATTAGGCTCAGAGCACTCTGATTGGTGGGTTTAAGCCATCCAATCAGAGTGCTATGACAGGTAAATGAAGAGACTGACAGGTAAGTCTCTACATTTACCTGTCACAGCACTCTGATTGGTTGGCTTGAAATCCACCAATCAGAGTGCTCTGTGTCATTTTACACAGCGTGGGAAAGTTCTTTGGAATTTTCCCACACTGTGTAAAAATGACACAGAGCACTCTGGTTGGTGGATTAAGTAACCAATCAGAGTGCTCCGCTCAGGGGTGGGGGCCAAAGGGGAGGACATTAGGTCCCCTATTGTTATTTAGGGCCCCCACCCACCACACAGGGTTGGGGTCCAGGGGGAGGACATTAGGCACCCCCATTTTTTATTTATGGCCCCCACCCACCACTCAAGGGTGGGGACGGGGGGAGGACAGTAGGTTCCCCCCCATTTTTTATTTATGGCCCCCACCCACCAGCAGGGGTGGGGGCTGGGGGGTGGACAGTAAGTCCCCCCCTCCACATTCTTATTTAGGGCCCCTACCCATCACACAGGGATGGGGGCAATAGGTTTTTTTGGGGGGGGGTTTACAGTGAGAAGCCGCTGGCTGCTCACTGTTTACTAGACACGCCCCTACTCGCGGTATAGCGAGTAGGGTGCTGAATTTACTAATACTAAGTAATCTTTACTTAGTATTAGTAAATGTGGCTGAAAGACCAATTTAGGTGACCAATTTAGGTCTTTCAGCCTTTTGGTAGATAGCTCCCTAATACCGTGTGAATAAGGGAGTTATCTACTAAGCGGCTGCTTATTTTATGTTATTTTTAAGTGATTTCCCTATCCACATTTGTTTGCAGGGCACTTGTCCTACTCTTAACCCCATTTTACTTCCTTTTGCAGCCCTCTAGCCCTTTCCAGGAGTTTTTAGAGCCATTTTTGTGGCCAAAAGTTCGGGTCCCCATTGACTTCAATGGGGTCCAGGGTCAAGTTAGGGGTCAAATTCGAGCCCGAACCCGGACTTTTTTTCAAAGTTCGGCCGAGCCCGCCAGACCCGAACATCCAGGTGTCCACTCATCTCTATTTGTGAGGTAAATGCTTCTTGATCCAAGGAGAGAACTGACTACCATTCTTGGGTCAAGAAGGATTTTTTTCCTAGTTTGTTGCAAAAATGAAAAAGCACTTTAATCTGGGTCTTTTGTCTTCTTTTGGATCAACAGCAGAAACAAATTGAGAAAGGCTGAACTTGATGGAGGCATGTTTCTTTTCAGCCTATGTAACTATGTTGCATTTACATTAAAGGGACACTATAGTCACCAGAACCACTGCAGCTTATTGAATTTGTTCTGGTGAGTAGAATCATTACCTTCAGGCTTTTTGCTGTAAACACTGTCTTTTCAGAGAAAATGCAGTGTTTACATTACAGCTAATTTCACTGGCCACTCCTTAGGTAGCTGTTAGAGATCCTTCCTGGGTTATGGCTGCCTAAAATGCATCCAAACATTCAGTGTCTCCACCATCTGCATGCAGACACTGAACTTTCCTCATAGAGATTGATTGATTCAATGAATCTCTATGAGGAGGGCTCTGCCCCTGATCTGCCTCTTTGTTAGTCTCAGCCAATCCTATGGGGAAGCATTGTGATTGGATCAGACTACTACTTCTGCTGATGTCAGCAGGCAGTGGGCAGGTCTAAAGGAAACAGGCACAAAGCCTGCAGCTTCATACTTGAATACAAGTAAGATTTACTATATTTAGGGAGGCATAATGGGGACAGGGGGGCTAGATGGTGGTTTTAACCCTATAGGGTCAGGAATACATGTTTGTGTTCTTGAACCTATAGTGCTCCTTTAAAAAAAAAAGTTGAAATTAAGCTCAGTATGGCATTAGGGAAGTGGACTGGCAGAGAGAGTGATGGTAAAATATGAACAGGTTCTTAAGGATTGCAGGATGACTATGTATATGTACATAATAATTATCCAAAGCATGTTTAGTGCTAATTACTGAGATATACAAATAGGGTTACTTACTAAAGTGTGGATTCAAAGTGGATTACAAATTAAAGGTTAAAAAAAGCTGAACTGGATTAATAGTTAAACTGTATAAATTCTCTAAGACAGCTATGCTTTCAGTTTGGCTGCTCTGGCCTTAAATTTAAAATTCACTTTGAATTCTCACTTTAGTAAATAACGCTGTACATTTAAGATATTTATCATAGTTTAGTTCATGTTATAAGCTATAACAAGAAGGAGCTTGATATTTCAAACTTACACAATACATCTGGCCCAATATCAGGAGTTGATTACAAACTGGATAAAAAATATATTTGAACTTTTTTGCTCATCTTTAAAAAAAAAAAAAAAAAAAAAGACTTAATTTTAACGTGTGCATTGTATTGTGTTTTACATATTTTGTATATCTATTTTACACTTAGGCCTCAATTTAAAGGGGCACTATAGTCACCAGAACAACTACAGTTTAATGTAGTTGTTCTGGTGTGTATATTATGTCCATGCAGGTTTTTCAATGAACATGACTGCCTAGGGACACCTCCAGTGGCTGTCACTCAGACAGCCACGAGAGGTGCTTCCTAGGTCAGTGATGCACAAAGCTTTTCAATATGATTTTATATTTTTGGATACACTTTTAAAAGTTTTTTAATGTTTTGATTTTATAACGTTTTGCTTTTTTATATATGATCTTTTTTGATATTTTAATATTTTGAAATACATTTTTTTAAAACATTTATCTAAAAATATGAAATAATTTAAAGTTTATCCAACAACATTAAATTGAGGCTCTTGAGCCTGGGTAATTTTACTTTCCCAAACACAAATCCTGCCACAGCACACACTGAGTTAGTTGCCTTGAGTTTAGAAGTCAGAGGAACAATTTAAGCCAACAAAGTTACAAATATTATCCAAATTGCCACATTTTCCACTGGAGGCTAAGTGTTGCACATTTGTTGTCATATCAATGTATGTTGTCTATTAAAAATATAGGCCAGTTGCAATAGTTCCATTACAACTGATTAGCCATTATCTGTGTGTTACTAACAGACTTATTCACTAAATTGAGAATTCAAAGTTAATTTCAATTTTAAGGCCAGAGTAGCTAAATGTAAAGCATAACTGACTTAGATAATAAAGAAAAAAAAATAAAGAAAAAAAAAGCTTGACTGTGCCACTTACTTTACGGCAATTAAAATAAAAAATGGTGTGCTCCTGATAAAATATTTGTGTGATGCATCTATGCTGTCTTTTAGTTCTAGGAATGGATCAGTGCAGGGCAGAACAAGCAGGTGATCTACAATTTGAAGCTGGAAAATGAGCTGCTTTCAAATCGTACCTGTTTTGCAGGTGTGATATTCAGTAGGTGTAGCAAGCCTATTCAAGCCTAATCATGCATTAAGTAATAGTGGCACCTTTTCATCAGGCTCTAAATTTGGCTAGAGCAAAATAATGGCTTGAATCATTTTTTCTGAAAAATAGATGCACCGATACATATAATAATTTCAGCAACAGACAATGCTTTCTCAAAAACTTTTCCATGACTATAACAGTTGGAAAAATAATTCTGCACCCCATCCTGCTGCAAGGTTTTTCACATGAGTGGTTACGTTAAGGTGAAATATGGCATATTTGTACAGAATCTACTGCTAGGATAAACTGCAACACAATTTCATTTCGTATTATCACATTAAGATTTTTTTTTTTTAGCACATTAACTATTGAAATGTGTTTTTGTACTTATTTTATAACAAAAGTGAGTCATTCAGCTAACAAAGCTACTGCCCACCCACTTAGTGCTATTATCTCGGCTTCACTTTTTAAAGGACTTTGCCATAGTTTATGTTTGTTTATTGTCTGATGGCAATAATGTGCTTATGCTATTCTGAGCTTTAGTAAACACAGTTAGGTTTCATAACTGTTTGGAAGTATTTTTAAACAGTTTACCTGCATCTCAAAAAGCTAAATAACAGGCATCATTCTGGCAGCTTCATACTATGCTAATAGTGACTCAGCCTGCACACCTATTAAAAGTCTAGAATGTGCGAGGGCAGATTAATTTAAATTTCTGTAAATCTCTCTAATCTGGCAGGTTTTACATACATAAGCCATGTGGATTGAAAGATAATCAGTATGGTTCTGCATGACTTGGTGCTAGGTTTATATTGCAACTGGATACCTGAGTTACAGAATTCAGAAACAAATAAAGTGCACAATAAAATCAAATTGTTTTTTTTAATAAAATATTAATTTTGTTTAGTGAAACTAAAATAGAGTAATGGCAGGTATCCAGTTTTGAATAAAAATGTAAAGTCTATTGGGGTTATTCACTAAAGGCCCTGTGTACAGGGCTATTTGGACTGCGGCGAGAATTAGTTATGTGGTGGCTGGACAGCACTGCTAGTCGGCCTCCACATTAAACAAAGTAAAATAAATTATAAAAATAAGGGAGGTTTAAAAACTTACCATGCGCAAGGTGGGGGTATATTAACCAAAACTTTAAAACAAATGACTGGGCAGACAGGCAAAGGGTGGGAACTAATCTTTTGCACCTACAAAACAAAAGTTTGTGATCATTTTTGCTGCCTCCAAGTAGGCTGGCTCTCAAAGAACAAATTGTATGGTAGGCAGTGGCGTACACACGATCCATGGGGCCCCGGTGCAAAAATTGACTTGTGTGTTTATTTTTTATTTAATCCTCTAGCCTCCCTACCTTTGGGAGTGCTGAGGGGATTCCAGAATTCCCTGGGGTCCAGTGGGGCTGCTGGGCGGCCGGTCACTGAAGGCGGCGAGAGAGCACTTATCCTACTGTTCAGCTCCCTAGCGCACCGTTTACTGATGCCGGAGCTGAAATTATGTGATATTCTGGCTCCAGCATCAGTGCGGTGCGCGAGGGAGCTGGGCAGAGAGTGCTCAGGGGAGAATGCTCCCTCAAGTGTCTGCCATGTTAAGCCACTGACAGCTCCGGGGGGCCAGGAGAAGAGGCTGGCAAAATGTAGCCACACTGACCTACATACCGGGTTGCAGGGTGGCCGGGCCCCCTTAAGGGCCGGGCCCGGTCGCAGCTGCGACCCCTGCGACCGTGGTATGTACACCAGTGATGGCAAGAAAAAGAGTAGGGGTAATTAAAAGGTCATCTCACTAGTGGTATGAAGCAATATCTCGAAAGATACCCCAAGTCTGCATTACTGAAGGAAGAAGTAGAACAAAAAGTCCATGGGCGGGC